AATGTGATGTGGCGGCAAAAAAAGCCAATGGGATTTTGGCCTGCATCAATAGGAGCATAGTGTCTAGATCTAAGGAAGTAATGCTACCCCTCTATTCTGCTTTGGTTAGACCACACCTGGAATATTGTATCCAATTCTGGGCACCACATTCAAGAGAGATATTGACAAGCTGGAATGTGTCCAGAGGAGGGCGACTAAAATGATCAAGGGTCTGGAGAACAAGCCCTATGAGGAGCGGCTTAAGGACTGGGCATGTTTAGCCTGAAGAAGAGAAGGCTGAGAGGAGATATGATAGCCATGTATAAATATGTGAGAGGAAGCCACAGGGAGGAGGGAGCAAGATTGTTTTCTGCTTTCCTGGAGACTAGGACGCGGAACAATGGCTTCAAACTACAAGAAAGGAGATTCCATCTGAACATGAGGAAGAACTTCCTGACTGTGAGAGCCGTTCAGCAGTGGAACTCTCTGCCCCGGAGTGTGGTGGAGGCTCCTTCTTTGGAGGCTTTTAAACAGAGGCTGGATGGCCATCTGTCAGGGGTGATTTGAATGCAATATTCCTGCTTCTTGGCAGGGGGTTGGACTGGATGGCCCAGGAGGTCTCTTCCAACTCTTTGATTCTATGATTCTATGTAAAATAAAATTTTAGATATGCGCCTACATTATAAAAAAAATAATTCTGATTCATACAATGGGTTTTATTAAGTTTTGAAAAAGGAATTTATGCTGCCGCACCCTGTAGACCTAAGGGGAAGTGAGTTGAGAAGCACTGTATGAAGTTCACAAGTTAACAATATATGGTATAAAAATGACGGGTAAACTAAAAGTGACAACGCTTAATACAAGCGGTCTTAGGAGTTGGTATAATACAGGGGTCTTTTTAAAAATTATGATCAAATTCCTATACACATTGCACATATCTTATTTTGAAGTAAACAAAACACAAAATGGGAACTAATACAATATTGAAAATGAAGAAACACTTTAACTCAATGTTATGGAATCCTGGATCTGCAATTTGATCTCTTGGCAGAAAAGGCAAAACAACTTTTAAATTTTTAAACCCCAAGATTCCATAGCATTACACCATAGCAGTCAAACTGGTGTCAAACTGCATTAATTTTGCTGTGTAGATGCACTCTATTTTTCAGTGCTTTAGCTGCACATCATCGGGTGCCCCTTCTTCATGTACACCAGTGGTTCTCAACCTTTCTAATGCTGCGACCCCTTAATACAGTTCCTCCTGTTGTGGTGACCCCCAACCATAAAATTATTTTTGTTGCTACTTCACAACTGTTATTTTGCTACTGTTATGAATTGTAACGTAAGTATCTGATATGCAGGATGTATTTTCATTGTTACAAACTGAACATAAAGCATAGTGATTAATCACCAAAACAATATAGAATCATAGAATCAAAGAGTTGGAAGAGACCTCATGGGCCATCCAGTCCAACCCCATTCTGCCAAGAAGCAGGAATATTGCATTCAAATCACGCCTGACAAATGGCCATCCAGCCTCTGCTTAAAAGCTTCCAAAGAAATATGTAATTACTGGGTTGTTGTAGGTTTTTCCGGGCTATATGGCCATGTTCTGGAGGCAATTTTTCTCCTGACGTTTCGCCTGCATCTATGGCAAGCATCCTCAGAGCATGAGGCAGGGAGGGTGGCTTGGGTGTGAGGAGTGGGTAGGGTGGGCAGCATGGGATTGCGACTTGGGTGTGGGGAGTGGGCAGGGAGGGCAGCTTGGGCCGTCCAGTCCAACCCCCTGCGAAGAAGCAGGAATATTGCATTCAAATCACCCTGACAGATGGCCATCCAGCCTCTGTTTAAAAGCTTCCAAAGAAGGAGCCTCCACCACATTCTGGGGCAGAGAGTTCCACTGCTGAACAGCTCTCACAGGAAGTTCTTCCTCATGTTCAGATGGAATCTCCTCTCTTGTAGTTTGAAGCCTTTGTTCCGCGTCCTAGTCTCCAAGGAAGCAGAAAACAAGCTTGCTCCCTCCTCCCTGTGGCTTCCTCTCACATATTTATACATGGCTATCATATCCCCTCAGCCTTCTCTTCTTCAGGCTAAACATGCCCAGCTCCTTAATGTCTCCTCTCAGTTTTCTCTTCTTCAGGCTAAACATGCCCAGCTCTTTAAGCTGCTCCTCATAGGGCTTGTTCTCCAGACCCGTGATCATTTTAGTCGGCCTCCTCTGGACACATTCCAGCTTGTCAATATCTCTCTTCAATTGTGGTGCCCAGAATTGGACACAATATTCCAGGTGTGGTCTAACCAAGAATAGAGCATGGGGAGCATGACTTCCCTAGATCTAGACACTAGGCTCCTATTGATGCAGGCCAAAATCCCATTGGCTTTTTTTGCTGCCACATCACATTGTTGGCTCATGTTGTAGAACTTGTTAGAAGCTTGTAGTAGTTAGCCAGAAAGTGTCTGGTCTGGCTTAGCAGTCTGAACAGGCAATCCTTAGTACATACATGCCACATAGAACACAGAAATACATGCCTCAGAGAACAAAGAAAATAGTTGTATTTGCCTTATAGATTACATAGTACATGTACATGCCATAGTCTATAGTTTTACATGCCTTAAAGTCTATAGATTATAGTAGATGTTATAACGGATAGATAGTACATGCCCCAGTTTATAGAGAGTGCTTACCTCATAGAAATTATAGTTGCTGTTACCCCAGAGCACATACCACCATTATATCTCATAGCCTCCTGTTATTTATATTTACCTCAGAGTTATACCTTATACCTGTTCTTTATTATTCTAATTCTATACCATCAAGAATCAAACTGCACCTTTATACCTTGTTTTGATTCACCTTGATTGTTCAGTAAACCTAATTGGTTAAATTTAGTCTTGTCTCTAGAGTTTTATTTTGGGGGAATTAAAGTAAATACAGGGCATACCGATGGTCACTGGGAAAACAGCCGAACACATATAGTTTTCTCATCAAACCTTCCTGGTGTGCCATCATAGAGGGAGAAAAGGATATGGCAATAATTTGGATGCATGTGGATGAATGTGTACATGTGTGTGAATGTTGAGTGAAAATGCAATTCCTCTTTGTTTGTTTAACCAAGGTAATTGTAAATCCAATGTAGTTGCATAGAATCTGTATGTCCAATGTCATTCTTTGTCTAAATGTTTTTCTGTAATCTGATATACCCTCTCACACTGGAAATTGCAATAAAAAGAACCTATGCTTCAAAGTTATTGAAAAGTCATTCATGACAACTTGGATTGTGTGTCTTGCAGCCTTACAGAAGGGGTCAGACTAGATGAGCTTTGAGGCCCCTTCCTCATATAAACCTTCTTGGAGCCTGGTGGGATCTCTTCTCTAGAGGGCTGTGAAACAGAGGCCGGATTGCTATCTCCTGGGCAGGCTTGGATTGTGTGTCTTTCTGCTTGGCAGAAGGGGCCAGACTAGATGACCTTTGAGGTCCCTTCCAAACCTCATATAAACCTTCTTGGAGCCTGGTGGGATCTCTTCTCTAGAGGGCTGTGAAACAGASGCCGGATTGCTATCTCCTGGGCAGGCTTGGATTGTGTGTYTTTCTGCTTGGCAGAAGGGGCCAGACTAGATGACCTTTGAGGTCCCTTCCAAACCTCATATAGACCTTATTGGAGCCTGGTGGAACCTCTTCTYTAGAGGGCTGTGAAACAGAGGCCGGATTGCTATYTCCTGGGCAGGCTTGGGTTGTGTGTCTTTCTGCTTGGCAGAAGGGGCCAGACTAGATGCCCTTTGAGGTCCCTTCCAAATCTAATATACAGTATCTTAGAGTCAGGTGGACTCTTTCTCTACAGTTCTTAATAATAACAACCTCACAACCTCTGAGGATGCTTGCCATAGATGCAGGCGAAACATCAGGAGGAAATGCTTCTAGAACACGGACAGATAGCCTGAAAAACCTACAACAACTCAGTGATTCCTGCCATGAAAGCCTTCAAACCCTTAGCATTATGCCCTCTAAAAGCACTTTATACTGATTTAGGACTGCTTCTATGTTTCCACCAATGCCCCACCTCCTCTATCTTGTTCATGCCCAGCATTATTTTTAAACTTTAATTACATTTGGCCCAGACATAGATTTTAAATGTGCGTTGTGCTATTGTTCAATGTTTATGCTATTTATGGATGAGTTTTGTTTTAATTGCTTTGTATTGTGGTTGTTATTGCTTGTATTGATGTATTGTGGGCTTGGCCTCATGTAAGCCGCACCGAGTCCCTTGGGGAGAAATAAAGTATTATTATTATTATTATTATTATTCGACAATACAACAGTAATAAACTTTATTTGTACCCCCCACCATCTCCCCAAACGGGACTCGGGGCGGCTAACGTGAGGCCAGGCCCAAAATTACAGTACAACAAATTAAAAAGAAGCGAATAATAACATCAAATAACGGACTTAAATAACAAAATATAAACAGTGCAAATAACATGATAGAAAATTAACACACAGTGGGTGGGCCAAATGCACTGGATAAAATGGATAAAACCCAGTTTGAGATCGTGAATGGGAAAGTATACGTTTGAGGGGGGAGCTCCAAAGGGGCGAACGAGGGGTGGGTCTTCATGAGGGCGGGGGAGAGTGCGTCACGAGGAGGGGTGAGAAGGGCGGAATAGAAATATTGTAAATAAAAGAATAAAAGAATCCCGTACAAACTGGGATTGTACGGGACCCCCAAACAGTATTCAATCCAGCCCCCCTTCAACCAGACAGAAAGGCACAAAGCACCCATGGAAGGTTCTGCAGCCTCTGTTTAGAAACATTCAGAGAGGTGTAATCACTACAGAAGGGGAATGCTGGTGTGTTCAAGTGTACGTTCGGCTACAACTTTTGTTATTTGCACAATAATGACCAGAATTAATTGAGAAAATAAAATCTGTTGATACAATCAAATAAAATCTGGATCCGCTTTAGAGGAAACGACACAAGAATTGTTTATACAGTAGAGAGTACATTAAACAAATATTTCTAAAAACCATATAAGGGGTTGGTTTCAGCTTGAATTATCAGTGATGCTCTGTCCACACTCCAGGCATTTATAGGATTTCTCCCCAGTATGAGTCCTTTGATGCACAAGTACACATGAATTATGAGTGAAGCTCTGTCCACACTCCAAGCATGCATAGCGCATAGGGTTTCTCCCCAATGGAGTCCTTTGATGTGAACATAGATTTCCACCGTGAGTGAAGCTCTGTCCACTCTCCAGGCATGCATAGGGTTTCTCCCCAGTAAGAGTCCTTTGATGAAAACATACGAGTAAAGCACTGTCCACACACCAGGCATTTATAGCATTTCTCCCAGTTGTGAGTCCTTCGATACAAACGTAGAGTTGAATTATGAGTGAACCTCTTTCCACACACCATGCATTTCTAGAGTTTCTCCCTAGCGGGGATCCTTTGATGCGAACATAGACTTGAATTACGAGTGAAGCTTTGTCCACACTCCAGACATTTATAGGGTTGTTCCCCAGTGTGAGTAATTTGATGTGAATGTAGAAGTCCACTTTCAGCGAAACCCTTTCCTCACTCCAGGCATGTACAAGCTTTCTCGCCAATGTGAATCTTTTGATGTGCATGTAGACTTGAACTCTGAGGGAAGCTCTCTCCACACTCAAGGCACTTATAGGGTTTCTCCCCAGTGTGAGTCCTTTGATGCAAATGAAGACTTCCACTCTGAGTGAAGCTCTGTCCACATTCCAGGCATTTATAGGGTTTCTCCCCAGTGTGTTTCCTTTTATGCACACGTAGACCTGAATTATGAGTGAAGCTCTTTCCACACTCCGGGCATTTATAGGGTTTCTCCCCAGTGTGTTTCCTTTGATGCACACGTAGACCTGAATTATGAGTGAAGCTCATTCCACACTCCGGGCATGCATAGGGTTTCTCCCCAGTGTGAATCCTTTGATGCACACGTAGCTTTCCATTCTCACTGAAGCTCTTTCCACACTCCAGGCATGCATAAGGTTTCTCCCCAGTGTGAGTCCTTTGATGTGTGCGTAGATGTCCACTCTGACTGAAGCTGTGCCCACACTCCAGGCATTTATAGGGTTTCTCCCCAGTGTGAGTCCTTCGATGCGAACGTAGATCTCCATTCTTAGTGAAGATTTTTCCACACTCCAAGCATGTATAGGGTTTTTCCCCAGTGTGAGTCCTTTGATGCACACGTAGACTTCCATTCTCACTGAAACTCTGTCCACACTCCAGGCATGCATAGGGTTTCTCCCCAGTGTGAGTCCTTTGATGTGTGCGTAGATGTCCACTCTGACTGAAGCTCTGTCCACATTCCAGGCATATATAGGGTTTCTCCCCAGTGTGAGTCCTTCGATGCGAACGCAGATTTCCATTCTTACTGAAGCTCTGTCCACATTCCAGGCATGTATAGGGTTTCTCCCCAGTGTGAGTCCTTTGATGCGAACGTAGACTTCCATTCTCGCTGAAGCTTTTTCCACACTCCAGGCATGCATAGGGTTTCTCTCCAGTGTGAGTCCTTTGATGCACACGTAGACTTCCATTCTCACTGAAGCTTTTTCCACACTCCAGGCATRCATAGGGTTTCTCTCCAGTGTGAGTCCTTTGATGCRMACGTAGACTTCCATTCTCACTGAAGCTTTTTCCACACTCCAGGCATGCATAGGGTTTCTCTCCAGTGTGAGTCCTTTGATGCGAACGTAGACTTCCATTCTCACTGAAGCTTTTTCCACACTCCAGGCATGCATACGGTTTCTCCCCCGTGTGAGTCCTTTGATGCACACGTAGACTTCCATTCTCACTGAAGCTCTTTCCACACTCCAGGCATTTATAGGGTTTCTCTCTATTGTCAGTCCTTTGATGCACACATAGCTTTCCATTCTCACTGAAGCTTTTTCCACACTCCAAGCATGCATAGGGTTTCTCCCCAGTTTGAGTCATTTGACGTGAACGTAGACTTGAACTATGAGTGAAGCTCTGTCCACATTGCAGACACTTATAGGGCTCCTCCCCATTTTGATGCAGATGATGCCTCCGAGTAAAACTCTTTCCACACTCCAGGCATTTCAATGTTTTCTCCTCCATGTCAACAGTGATATGTGTGTTGAATTGCAGTACAGATACTTGGCGCTACTTTTTTCCTGTCTTATCTGTAAGTGAAGTCAAGAATCGGCAAGATCATCACCTTGAAATGATTCCTTCCTTCTTCCTATATTAATGGTTTCCTTACTGCACCCAAGAGTTGGCTCCCTAGAATCCTCACTTCCCTGGTGAAGAAAGAAGCAAAAGATCAGGGATGAAAGACAGAAACCTTCTTTACCTGCAAGATTTTACCCTTTTCCCTTCATGGGTCATGTTGAATACCAAGAAATGCAGACACCAGGGTCTCAAGCACATACACAGATGCTAACAAAGGCAATAACTGATTCTTAAAGAAGAAGAGAATGAATCCCGAAAGAAAAAAACAAAAGGAAAGGAAAGGATGGAGAACGAAAAGAATGAATGACAAAAGGAAGAAAGGGGGACTCCTAATATTTACCTCCCTTTGGCAAGATAAAGCAGGGTATAATAATAATAATAATAATAATAATAATAATAACAACAATAATTCCCCTCGATCGGCGCCACCTTGTCATGGTGGGGGGCTTAACTGTGACCGTGGTGGAAGCTGCTGATTCTGGACATCAATTGACAAGTGAGCTACAGAATCAAAATACAAATGAACGATCACAGAAGCAGCAGAAATATACAATGCCAGAAAACCGCACAGTTATGAAATGCTATTACAAACCAGAACCTCAAAAGCGTGGCTACCAAAAAAGGATGCATCTGTTGTGGAAACAAGAATATCCTGACTCACAGATAACTGAAGCCCGACTGAAGATTCATAATCAGAAACAAAGGGTTCAGTGAACTTGAAGAAATTCTGAAAATCTGCAAAGCAAATGACCATCAGGTCACAGCACAGACAGTAGCAGAGACTCCAGCAACACCTGGAACTCTGGAACAGACTGAAGCAGAAGAAAATGTGCAGCTTTTGCAAAAATTTGAAGAACCAGCACTTGAAGCATTTGTTGAACTACCAGGATCATTGACAGCAAGACAAGAAGAGCTCAAGGATAAAATCATGGCCCATGCTGTATCGAATGCAGTAAGAAAGCGACTCCCAACTTTCCAAACAGTGCCTAAGAGACACCTGGCGCCTCTCGTGAAGGATGTGAATACATTACTTTCTACTGTCCAAATAACACCCACTGAACAAACAAACCAGATCAGCAGTGATAGTAACAGAAGAGCTTGGGCTCCTACAACCAATGCAGCCTCCGTGAAAATCGACTGGAAAACCAAAATGGAAGGTCAGGTTTATTTATTTATTTATTTATTTATTTATTTATTACTGCGCTTGTATACCGCTGTTTCTCAGCCTACATTGGCGACTCAACGCGGTTTACAACACTACAATAATCAACAATATTCAGTTTAAAAAGCATAAAAACACATACACACTACACAATATTGGGCCACCAATACAAACCAATGCATCTCTTAACTAAAATCACAATCCAATTTCATCGTCTGTGATTACCAATCCTTGATCATCAAATTCATTGCACCGGATTAGCCGAATGCTTGTTCGAACATCCATGTCTTCAGTCTTTTTCGAAACACCATCAGCGAGGGGGCTGATCTTACCTCTATGGGGAGGGCGTTCCAAAGCCGAGGGGCCACCACAGAAAAGGCCCTGTCTCTCGTCCCCGCCAGCCGCACCTGTGAAGCAGGCGGGATAGAGAGCAGGGCCTCCCCAGAAGATCTTAGGGTCCTGGTGGGCTGATAGGCCGAGATACATTCGGATAGATATGTTGGGCCAGAACCGTTTAGGGCTTTAAAGGCCAACGCCAGCACTTTGAATTGGGCCCGGTAGCAAATCGGCAGCCAGTGGAGCTGGTACAGCAGAGGAGTTGTATGCTCCCTGCGCCCCGCTCCTGTTAGTATCATGGCTGCCGCCCGTTGGACTAATTGGAGCTTCCGAGCCGTCTTCAAAGGCAACCCCACGTAGAGAGCGTTGCAGTAGTCAAGACGGGATGTAACCAGAGCGTGGACTACCGTGGCCAAGTCAGACTTCCCAAGGTACGGTCGCAGTTGGCGCACAAGTTTTAACTGTGCGAATGCTCCCCTGGTCACCGCCGAAACCTGGGGCTCCAGGCTCAGCGATGAGTCCAGGATCACACCCAAACTGCGAACCTGCGTCTTCAGGGGGAGTGCGACCCCGTCTAACAGGTTGGAGTTGAAAATCAAAAATCTACGATCAGATGCAAGTAACCTGAAAAATATGAAGGAGAAGAAACTGAAGAATGACAAAATCAAGCGGTATCTGATCAGAAAGTATTGGCTGAACACCAGAAAAATTGAAGAAGCTTTGGAAATTGTGAAAGAACAAATTACAGCAACAGCCAGAAAAATTGAAAGATAGGACACCAGAATCATCCAGTACAGACAAAATCAACTGTTTCAATCAAACCACAGACGGTTCTACCAGAGTCTGAACCAAACAACAGACACAGTAGTCATAAAGCCTGTGTCGCAGGCGAGTTTGGTGGGGATGCAAGACAGGGCCTTTTCTGTGGTGGCCCCCCGACTCTGGAACACCCTCCCCGAAGATCTTAGACAGGCTCCTACGTTGGCAGTCTTCAGAAAAAACTTGAAGACCTGGCTGTTCGGATGTGCCTTTCCAGAATAGGAAAACTCCAAGAACAAGTCCCAGAAGCACTTTATTAGAAATTAAGATTGCTGGCACACTGCACTTACCCTACAATCCTTACATATCACCTGTCACATCAGCACTTTTAATCTGTACCCATTACTCTGTCCCGGCCCAGTTTTATTGTGTCTTGGTGTATTGTTTATTGCTTGTTGTTTAATATTGCTTTAACTGTTTTTAAATTTGCTTTAGGTGTTGTATTGTTGTGTTGTGTATTGAGGCCTTGGCCTTTGTAAGCCGCATCGAGTCCTTCGGGAGATGCTAGCGGGGTACAAATAAAGTTAATAATAATAATAATAATAATAAGTGTGTATATATATTTGTGTATGTGTATACATGTGTGTTTGTGTGTATATGTAGTTTTGCGCATGCATTATAATGTGTTTTTTGGGTTTTTTTACTTTTTAAGTCTCTTCTGTTGTGTTTTTCAGTGTTTTTATGAGTGACAGTCACTCGTTGGCCTGATACTTGTATTGTGTCCTAATTTGGTGTCAATTCGTCCAGTGGTTTTTGAGTTATGTTAATCCCACAAATGACCATTGCATTTTTATTTATATAGACTAGCCATCCCCTGCCATGTGTTGCTGTGGCCCAACAACTAAGTTTTGGAAAGAACTCTGAGAAAATAGTAAGAACTACAACAAAAATGCTGGGTGGATAAAGGAGTTTGAAGAAAAATTCTCACAGAACAAAATGGAACAGATGGAAATAACAACTGAAATTATCAGCAAACGAGTGCAAAAGGTCAAGAACTGGAGGCCAGGCAGTGATCAACTGCATGGTTTTGGCTAAAATATCTGACTAGCCTACATGGAAAAATGGCCCAACAATTCAATGAGATGCTGCAAAAAGGAAGTATCAGTGAATGGTTGACAACTGGAAGAATCTATCTGATACAAAAGGATCCAGCAAAAGGAGCAGCACCAGGAAACTGTCTGCCCACTACGGGCACAATTCAAGGTGCTGGCTTTAGCCTATAAAGCCCTCAACGGTTCTGGCCCTACTTACCTCTCCGAATGCATCTCCTCCTATGAACCAGCTAGGACATTAAGATCGTCTGGGGAGGCCCTGCTCTCGGTCCCGCCGCAGGCGCAGTTGGCGGGGACGAGAGACAGGGCCTTCTCGGTGGTGGCCCCTCGGCTGTGGAATGCCCTACCTGTGGACATCAGACAGGCCCCTTCACTGCTGGCATTCCGGAGGAAGGTCAAGACTTGGCTTTACGAACAAGCGTTTGGCTAAATAGTGCAATGAAATACAGTAAGATGGTACAACTGAACATAGGAATTGGTATAAAGGATTATGATTACGGATTCTGATTCTGATTTGTTTGCTGAGGCGCACGTCTATGATAATGATTGTTTTTGACTTGATATGTTTTGTATAATGTGCTTTTAATTGCTTTTTTGATGTTGTTGTGTTAACCTTTACTATGTAAACCGCCTTGAGTCGCCATTTCGGCTGAGAAAGGCGGTATAGAAGTAAAGCAAATAAATAAATAAATAATAAATAAACTATTGACTGGCATCATAGCTGACAGAATTCAAGATAATCTTGAAGAAAATAACATCTTGCCAGATGAACAGAAAGGCAACAAACGGAAAAGCAGGGGCACAAAAGACCAGCTATTAATTGACAAAATGATTCTGGAGAACTGCAAAAGCCGAAAAACCAATCTTCACATGACGTGGATTGACTACAGAAATGCCTTTGACTCACTCCCACACAGCTGGATCATCAAGTGCCTAGACACCATCGGCATTTGTAAAAATGTTGCCACTTTTATTGAAAATATGATGAAGCACTGGAAAACTGAACTGTTTGTTGGAAATGAAAACTATGGACTTGTCAAGATCAGGAGAGGAATCTTCCAGGGAGACTCATTGTCCCCACTGCTCTTCATCATTGCCATGATCCCTCTGTCAACAACCTTACAAATGGCACTGAAAAGGGGGTGGGACTTCCATGGAGCCTGTTCTCAACTGGGGAGAATGGAGTGGGTGAGGCAGGACGGGAAACGCGGCAGAAAGAAGGTAGAAAGGCAGTGGAGGAATAACTGGCCAATCTCAGACCCCTGCCATAGAATCCATTCCAAAGCAGATAATTGGATTTTATATGCCAGTGCAGAAGGGCCCATAGTGACATGATGAATAATTTATTATTTATAATAATAGCAGCAGTGAGACCAAAACAGTAATAACATTAATAGATGATATTAACAGTACTGACAATGGGTTGTTGTAGGTCCTTTTGGGCTATATGGCCATGTTCTTGAGCAGCGGTTCTCAACCTGGGGGTTGCGACCCCCAGAGGGGTTGCCAGGCCATTTTGGAGGGGTTGCGGTGCCATGTCTGTAAAGAATGAATGTCTGTATGCATGTAGAAGAGCAGAAGAAACAGGCCTGGAGAAAACAACATGGAGTTCTCGCAAA